CGAACAGACCACGTGATAACTAGCGGGCCATAAAGTCACAACACTTAGGTTATATTGCATTTACAAAGTGGTTTCTTCACATCACTTATGTACCCATAAGATGTTTGTGAATAATTGCAATAATAGTGTATGGAGATCGGCAATCAAGTGGGTGTCTGTGCCAAAACATAAATCTTATGAGGACAGACTTTGGCATTATTCTCTCTGATATACAGGAGGATAAGAGGTGATTTGGTGATGGTATACAACATATTAAATACGTCAAACCACCCCGACGCGAGCATATTTCCAGAACAAGCATATTAGTCGTATTTGTGATGTTCTCTTAGCCTAGGTGACTACGACGGTCTAATGGATAGCTTTAAAGGAAGATTTCACAATCACGTACTACCCAAACCAATCTCCTGCCTGTTAATGTAATAACTACTAGTATCCAGAAACACGACTGTCCTAAGACAAACGCACCCACTGGAATATACGATATACCTATCCACAAATAACTGCCACACTGAATAAAACTAGTGCAGTTGAGTGGATAGACCACCACATATTAGACATTTAAAAAATACCTGATAATGTAGCGAAGTAACAAATGATCGTGAAGAAATCAAATTTTTGTACAAGCTGGTGACAAAGATATTGGATTCACAAAGCACTGACTAAAAGCGCTTTGATTTTGTGTGTATGCAGTTCATGAACTGACACTTCAACCACTGACTACGTGGCAATATCGTTTTGAATAATAAGAGATTCAAGTCACTGTTTCGGTTGAAAATGTTTAAGCTTTAGTTAACTGTCATCAGTGTACTCTAATTCTGTCCATCTCGGTGAAGCTAAGGCTTGTAAAAAACCTTTGAATGACGTGAATTAGACCTTAAGAAGGTGAATAATAAGCATTATGATTTATAGTTGATGGTTAGGGTTAAGAATTAGATTTAAAGTTTACATTGCGAAATGGCATCAGGTCCCAAAGCGCTATTTAGCTATACAAACGATTAAATTTTGAGCCAAAATCCATTATCTGTTTTTTTTAATCTGGTCGGTTCGTCCATAAGTCTTCTCCATTCATTTATTTGCTGATCGACAAATCTAAAACCTCACAGTTAAAATTATGATGGAATGTCATCATATAGGAAAACTAACTACACCCAGGGTGTAAGACATGTTATCTAACAGAAAACTGTGTAACAAACTTTCACAGGTTTTGTTTAGCACAACAGATTTTCAGTTGTCATGCTGACTACAGCGACACATTTACAAATATGAAGACTGGTAAGCCTGAATACTCAAGAGGATGGCAATATACAGCAACCAATCTTTTGGGCGATAAAAGACAGAGTATGTGCAAGAATGTTTTACTTCAGCGAGTAGATTTATTTTTTAAGTCAATTACTATTTTAAGTCAATTCTAGGACGCAGCAATACACATTGCCTAAAAGTCCCTCCCCCACCATTCACTTACGGAATTAAAAATGTTAAAACCAGTGGTGTCTCTGATGGTATGTCATTCCCTTAATTATTTTTAGCCCTTCACTGGATCGATGATACCACAATTCGTCAGAAGTCTAATGACCATATATATCTAACTCGGGACTTCGTGGCACTAAACTGTGATAGTGTAAGGCAGGGAGTGACAACAAGCAAGGAAATGACTCACTTTAGGGCGTTACACGATAGATTGAGACCGAAGCAAGCGAAACGCAGATCAAGAACGGAGTCACCAAAACTACATTTGGATGTCACTCATGGTATGCCTAACAAGTGAGTACTTTTAATACCATTATTCAGACATAACTCTTCGTCGAAATAAGTACGACCCCATCTGTTTATTTTTCTAAGCACCATCCAGCTCTTGTCTTGTTATACAGTTTTATTTGCTCAGTAATCACCTATTGCTTGCGTTGGCTACTCCGTTGAGTCCAGTGGAACTCGACACCCCAAATACAAGGGAATATTCAGAAGACTATGCGTGTACTCTTATTGATATGTTGAGGTACTGAATGAATTAAGTTTTCCCCACTTTTTAAACTACATGTAAGATTTGCCAACCAACAACAGGTGTGTGTGGCACATTCGACAGAAATATTACCAGCAAATGTTCCTAAGGAATTAAATGAAATTGGATAAATTTAACCCAGTACTAAAGAGCTTACAATTTTATTCTTTTAAAGCACTCCAGTCTCAATATGAAAAGACGTCCGTTGAATTCTGAAGACGCTCTACATCACATATTGATATCCTTTTAGCTATCAAAAACAATTTAGAACAAGTTTCTACGCTCATGAAAGAACAGTACTTCTTCATGGAAGAAGTATTATTAAACGACGACAACAATTCAACACGATTGATAACATTATTATCGACCACAGGAACGAATCTTACGGTTTTAGTTATAATTCAATTCGCATGCTTAGATTACAGTCATAAAAACTGTGTACGAACAGCATTCGAAAAACATCTGGATTACAACGAACTACTCACTTGATAGTTTGGGCTACCTTTTTTAACGAACCCTGATAGCAGACTAGGGCAATAAAAAAACCTATTCTGAAAACTCTCCATGATCTTATATTATCAATGGTCCAGCACCGCGTTATATTTGTAATAGCCGTGACAATGAAGTCGGCAGCTGAACAGAACTATCTCACTTTTCGTATGAGAACTTAAAAGATCTGCTGAGAGTGGATGAGTCTGTTGATTACTTAGCATGCTGGAGATACTGGCAGTGAAACAAAAGCACTTTTTACTGGCTGTCTTCATAACTTTCAAGTATTCCTACACTGAGAGTTTAGGACCCTGTCCGGCAGTCTGTGATCACAGATAGATCGACTTTAAACACTCATTGTCAGAAATCGCGATCCGAACCATCATCAGTCAATCACATGGTCAAATGGCCACATCTGCTAAGAGACTGTTTCGGACCCAACAAGATCTATAGTATGGTGCATTACAACCGCAGTAGAAAACTAAGACAAGTACAGACTGAATATGTTGTGATCTAGAAATACTCAAGGGTGCAAACATGCATGGTAACTATTACTACTACTGAAAATTCATGCTCCATTAAAACCTAATTTTCACATTTATTTAGAGCCTCTACGCCAATTCAAGAAATCCTTTCAAACAAATATCAAAAAGACTGGATTGATGCACAGATGAGGAAATCAGACAAAATAGAAGCAAAATTAGTTGGACTAACGGTATGAAATGTATTATTAAATAACATTTCATACTCAGAGCATGTCCAGAAGAGTTAACCATCCTGACACAGATGCGATGGTTAAAAGAAATTGCATGAGGAAAAACAAAGAAGAGAGCTTCTGGAAGTTGAAGAGGTTTGAACAAAATGTAAGTTTACAAAAACTTTTAAATCCTCATGTTTAGACAATCTACTTGAACTGAGATATACATGTGGCTAGTAAGACCAGAAGAATTAAACAAACATGTACAGGAGCACCCCACAAATCGTAATAATTCTAAGTGAATTCAATAAGCCAATGGCATTCGACAAACTATTGCGAAAAAATTGAATTTCAATACTCAGTGATGTACGATTAAAACTAAGTCCTCACCAGCCAAAAGGATTGGGTAACTGGTTTGTGATCACCACTGACTTTGAAGTGATAATCACGTATACCAAGACCAAAGTCATAGAATTTTAAGTTGGTCAGTGAACACAATAACTGATGTCTGATAACTAGTTTTGACAGTTGGTACTTAAGTAATTCAAAGGTAATTGAAAGCGAAAAGTTTGGCAGTGTGAGATCCCCATCCATCTCTACCACATGTCATCAGATGGAATTTCCTATCTAGCTGGAAGAAATTGTGACTTATTGTTTGGAGAAAAATACACTGCTTCAACTTAATCTGTTTGTTTTTATATATGTATACTAACTCACTACCTAATGATTATTTTACGGTTTTTTATTGTTACTAAAATTTACGGGAACTAGAATGGTGTTCCTAAACCTTCTTACCTGAATTAACAAAGCTAGTGTGTATACAAAAGCAGAGCGTATGAAAATATGTTGACAAATCGATATCCCTTTGACAGTAAGCAACTTATTTGCCAGATAGATAATTACACTATCACTTGTTTTTAGAAATCAACCAACTGCCATTCTTATTCAGCAAAATATCTCCAATATTGACTAATATGTTTGTTTAAAACAGTATAGGGACGTTGGACACTCAATAATACAGGTTAGTGGGATAACCGTGATTACCGACCGGAGATGCATCAAATCTCATCTAGATTTAAAGTCTCAATACCTTTACATACTTTTCATCACAAGAATTTATTCACTTAATTCAAACAATATTCCTTGTACTTAGCATCCTTAGTATTAGTGATGATACTATGATTTAGACTTGTTTGCAATGCATTTTGTGAATATCACATCGGTGTTGGATAATTGGGGTTGGTGTACAATCATCCCGAGTCCTAAGTTTATTCCGAATGAGTAATGACTAAATTATTTTAATCTATATTGTTTAAACACAACCACTTCTGTATTTTAATTTTAGGCTGTCGGGCGGATAAACACATTTCGAAACGAAGAATGTCGAAGACTTGCATTTGAAAAAGATAAAAGCAGTAAGATATCACGAATCGGATTACATGGTCATGGAATCCAACGTACAGGAGAATGTGCATAAAAACCTTTTGTCTTTATGCTGCAGAACTACGAAAAACACGTTTATTAGGAAACAGCCCAAAGTAAACTAGAAATCTGCAGCAAAGTTGTTTACCTTGAAAACAACAACTACATTATTTAATTATCAGTTTTCAAAGCATTTTGGTGGTACGATAAGAATAAAAGGGCCGCATTCTGTGTAAATAAGGGTCGAGATAGTGCATCTCACCAAAATATTGTCTATGTTGTAGTGAAACTAAACTAAATGCAAATGAACCTTTAAAATGTGATATATCTGTTTTGTAACTAGACAGAACTATTCTTAAGGAAACAGTGATTCAATAGTCTAAACATAAGTCTCTCATCCACCAACTCATGAGTTAACATCTTATTTTATCTAATTTACTTTAAACAGTAATAACTGTTGTCATGCGACACATGATCAGTAAACAAGTTTAAAAAAATACCTGGTTACAACTAGTCTATCAACAGCATGCTTGCAAGCTGTTTATCAATCAGAGTAAAACATTTTTACAATATAAGACATTTAAAGAGTACTTAAATTTGTACAAAGCATTAAGACAGAAGTAACTAAGGATTAAAACCAAGGCATTCAACTATGGAAGTCAATTTAACTGAGTAAAAATTTGGTTTTGAGTACCGAAACATTGTGCGAAAAAATTAACTGGTGAAATTAATTTACAGATGCAGGTCGTTCAAATAAAAGATATAAGAAAGACTAGATAAAGTACCTAACACAATATCTCGATGAAACCGTATGTTTTCACAGGTTTTTCTTATCTTTATCTGTTGAACCAGCTGAACCACACTGATTTGCAGCGCTAGAAGTTTGTTTCTGGTTAGTGTATATTTCATTTAATGAAAAAGCATTGATCATATTATCCCAAGTGAATGTGAATTTCTGTACTGTTTTCTTAGGTGTATTGATTATAGCTGGTCTGCGTGTCAGTTCATGACCTTGACGAAATAAAATCAGAGTAGGAAGCTGTTTAGACCAGGAGGATGTATCAATGTTGTGTTTGACGCCGACATCTGGATATCGTATCACATCGATTTTGCCAAACTTCATAAGATCTGTTCCAAATTCTTCTGACAGTTCTGCAAAAATAGGTTGTAGTTTAGTACACGCAGGTGACCACACAGTATAAAATGCAACGAGCCATGTTACCTTAGGGTTACCACGAATAACTTCTTGTTCAAAGGTAGTATCTCGCAAGTATAAAACTTTATCGGGCCCATTATAAACAGGTTGTTGTAAAAAACAGGCTTGCACTAACCATAAAACACCATATAATATGGCATATACAACATTCTGTTTCCAGAACATAAGTAGACTAACGATTTTAGCAAACATGTAGAAATGAGCAAGATAATCAGGAATAGAGAATTGACGCTTATTGCGCAATGCGACGAAGCTTCCTAAAAATATCAACATTTCATATTCTTGGAGATTGATGTAACAATCATCATACATCCATGTACAAAATAATGGGACAGTTTTTGATATAAAAAAAAGAGCGCTAAGTAGCATATTCACGATAAAGTATGGATGAAGTAGTAGCTTTAAATCCCGCTTATGTTTCATCTGTAAAATTAAAAGAAGGAAATAAAAATGTTATAAATGAATTATGGAATCGCATCAAAGTGATAAGATCGAAGCTGTAGTTTTGGCTACTATTTTAAGCCCACATAACTTATTCTAGCTTCCTCTTGAGTCACGTTTTGACCTTGTTAATTATTCACTTATCAGCCTTGACTGTTTCCGTATGAGCGTATGTGTGTTCATTTTCTACCTTACTCATAACATGTCTGCAACTTATTTTTGTTCGGTTATAAATATTGATTCACTCTTGGTTAAATTGAGTTGGCTCACATACCATCTCCACTGAGCGTTATTTCACTTCGCTTTATTCCCTTTGCCTTCTTCGCTTTATTTCTTTGATCGTTTGCCTTGATCAACAACCGTACGAAATATACGTATTCAAAAATCCATTCTCGTATTTGACCTATTTGATGCCGTTATTCATCAACGCAAGTTGATAATTATATACGACTGGCAATATGTCTATTTCGATAATAATCATACGATATTACTGGAGTCAGATACAGGACTACTCAAAAGCCTCAATAATCAGGAATCATTAAAATGTCAATTATTGATCCAATAAATAATCACAATCGACCACAGAATCCTACAAGAAAACCAATGTGGTTTTCCAATCTAGAAGACTGAGTATGTTGCAAATAATTGTGGTCGTATATAATTTTAATATCAACTATTAAGACTTATCAGACGACTCATTTAAGTCATAAGCTTAAGTACCATATGGGTGGCCCAAGTGATCGAAATGTAATTTAGCCTGGGAATCAAATGGTTATGCATTTGATGTTTGAGACTTATTACCTGAGAACTCGAAGTTACAGCTTACTTTAATCAGATTTCCAGCCTTCCAATAAAAGCCCTTTAGTAATATAATTTATATGAAACAAATACTCTTTTAAAGTGGGAAGCCTTATTATCATTTTCCATAATTTTGACCTGCAATTTTCTACTGTTTGCGAGATTTAGATTCGAAAGCTTGAGCATTTGACTCTGGAAATCAGGCGATGAGTTTAAAGATTATTTAAACACTTTTGATTTAGTTTGAGTACTACCTATACTGGCTGCTAACCAGTCCCATGTTTATCAAGTTCCTTAGTGCTAATCAAAGTTTATCAACCGAGTTGCAACGCGAATACTAGTACGAGTGACTTGAGATCATGTACTTTTAAAATTAAATGGTCAGACGCAATCGGCAAAATATCTTGAACCCAGATAGGGTGCTACATGTCACTAGTCAACAAAGTCCTCAAATGTCCTGTTGCAGCCGAGCGTGAGGCGAGTCAGCTCCCCCCGTCAAAATCCTCTCACATGGCTACACGTATACAGCCACTGCCAGGGAAGTCCTGCTCACTGCCTTCTCGCGGCGGGGGTGTTGTTTAAGAAATTGAGAGGACGGAAAACGAATGTCCGGTGCCTTAAACCGGTTGGTGGATATGGATGATGCACATAGGGACGTTGGAAAACCCTGGTTCCAAACCAATGGTGCACATGAGCTTCAGTATCCTGAAGGAACATGGTGTACGAACCAATCATTGATTACCGGCTACCATGGGACTGTATCTCCTGACGTTGCTCTACTACTTTGTGGATCAGAACTTTAGGTCCAAGGATCCGGGTTTGGGCACCCGGGCAGTATTATAGCCCAGTCAGTCAGTTAGTAACAACGTAGAACTTCGTACGTATGTACGTACATCAGTTCGAGTTGCCATACCATATTAGTGCAGAGATGCAGTTGTCGATTCAAATCCCGTGGTTATAGTGGTAGTAAGAGTATAAGCAGTAATCGGAAAGATGTTATTCAAGCAGTATAATCCAGTGAAATAAATTTGGAAAGAGAAAAAAAGGGACATGAAGAATTCAGATTAGAATTTGGGAGAACACAAAGAGTGGATGCACCTGCGCCATTGCAAACGATTTTGAGCCATGTCATTCAAGATCATAGCCCAGACACAAATCAAGTGACTTGTGTGGTGCATGTGTATTCGGTGCCCCTTTGTACTAATATTTGTGTTCAAATAATAATACTAGTCAACAAAATGTACCTGTAATTATGATTCGAACTTGCACCATAGCCAGAGATAACACTTCTGAGCTGTTTTGGAAGAGAATGACTTCTTTTACGATAGATATATACATTACTTAACATCGAAATACAGTATAAGCAAAGTCGTCTCGTTTCAACTAATAGTCACGTTGTGACTGGGTTGAGATTCCATCAACAATAAAGACTAAATAAACAGAACGTTAATAAGTTATATAAGGTATGTAATCGGTAAATACTGTAAATATCTCATTTCTAAAAGTGGTCAGTCTCAAGTTGAACAGCACAAAGACAATGTTTCTGAAAGTGATACTGTAAGGCACAGGCCACCATAAGATTAAAGATACACCTTATTGATAAGTGACAATTAAGAATACCATTTGGTTGAGAGCATCAACCTGACCGCCTACAATCATCTATCACGAGCAAAAACCCCAATTCTCACAAAGCAACCATGTACAATGACGCGTAAAGACCAGCTTTAAGATGCGTTGACTAGTAATTTAATACAGAGTTGTAGGTTATCACTGACCAGGCTGCAGGTACGTTCCTATTGGTAAAAGTATAGTCAGACTTTAAGCAGTCAACCAACTGACTGAAATGTAGATTATTTATTTTATTTACTTATTTGAACATAAATATTGGTATAAGGGGGCACCGTATATATGTATATGCGCCAAACAAAACAATGAGAATGGGAAGAGAAAAAGGAAAGTAAGGAACGTAAAAGAAAAAAAGAACAACTACAACCACAGATTAGTGTAAGGTAGTGAAATAATCATATTAATGGGGGAAACGGAAAGGTACAACCAGGAGAATTCTTTCAGTTAAGGAAGATACAACCACTTTTTTATAAAGAAAGTGAAAGAAGGTTACAGCAGGATCGCCAACGACTTCTATTTCGAGCCATATCTGATAACGTCTCTAACATCTGGCTTGCACCATCTCTAGGACCACAACCACGGAGTCGTGAAGGACCAACACAAGCCAGCCCCTTTACAGCTTTCTTCCAAACCACGACAACATATCATACACTGACCACCTCTCCGCTTTTTCCAACTAGTCCCGGAGTCGACAAATAATGCACAACGTCAAATTCTCTGGGATGACATTTGTGCAACATGTCCAAGCCACCGAAGTCGGTGTTTCAAGATGGTGACACCAACTGCATTATCGTCTCTGTGTCCGAACACACGATACCGAACTTCTGCATTACTAACATGGTGTTGCCACTGGATGTCAGCAATCCTTCGGAGACAACGATGGTCAAACACAAAGAATCGTCTTACATCCTCAACTTGGAGAGGCCAGGTTTCACAAGCATAAAGCAAAACTGCTCTCACCGACGCGTTGTAGATACGACCTCTTACAGCCAGACTAACATCACGAAGGCGCCAAAGATGGCCCAGATTGGCATAAGCCGCTCTGGATTTCACTATACGTGCATTGATCTCACCACGAGATTGGGCAACCCTCTCTAACCCCACTTCTCGAATGGAATAATGGAGAAAGGTGGTTATGTGCCCTCACTCTGTCTGAGGTTTTTGAATATAGGGCTTTTAGAATGTTAATAAACTTCTCAGGCACGCCCTTCTTCAATAGACAATCCCAGAGAACAGTCCTATCCAACCAATCGAAGGCAGCCCTGATGTCAAGAAACACTACGATTGTTGACCTTTGATAAGTATGACGGTGTTCTAACATTTGGAGGAGGGTGAAGATATGATCACTACATTCTCGACCAGAACGAAAACCAGCCTGCTTCTCGCGAGTCAATCTTTCTCGGGTTTTGAACAACCTACGAAGAATGATGGAAGCCAATAGCTTGGACGCAATCGGAAGTATACTTATCCCCCGATAGTTGTTACAGGAACGACGTGAACCCTTTTTAAAGATAGGGACAACTATCGACTCATTTTATGACATTGGAACACACTCTAGTTCCCACACCTTTGTAAACACCACAGTCAGTTCCTCAGTCAGAAAGTCATCACCATCTTTAAATAGGGCCGTAGGTAGGTCATCTGAACCCGGTGACTTGTAGCGCTTCAAGAGTTGGAGTTCCTTGAGGACTTCCGCCTCATTAGGTGGATCAGTCATCAGTTCTCTATTCAGGAAGTCACCACCATCTTTAAAAAGAGTCAGAGGTAAGTCATTTGGGTCAGGTGATTTGTAGCGCTTCAAGAGTTGGAGTTCCTTGAGGACTTCCGCCTCATTTGGTGGATCAGTCATCGCCGGTCGTAGAGGGGAGGACAGTCCGACCGATGTTGCCGAAGCAACAGGCCATTCAACCTGCCCTTCGAAGAATTCTACCAATCGTCCAAGACGTCGATGGATGTTAGTGATTGGCATCCCGTCATCCTAACAGATTGTTTCGCTCACATAAGACTTCTTGCTGCCAGTGGCTCGGAGGAGTTGTGTCTAGACGCCCGACCTGAGCATTCAAGTCTCCCCTGAATGCCCTGGTACGGCCGAGAGTGGGGAAAATCCGCTCTCCCTCTCGAAATACTCTCACACGGCCACGCGTATACAGCCTCTGCCAGGGAAGTCCTACTCATTGCCTTCTCGTGGCGGGGTTGTTGTTTACGAAAATGAGAGGACGAAAAGCGAATGTCCGGCGCCTTAACCGGATTCCAAATCAATGGTGCACATGGGCTCCAGTATCCTGCGGGAACGAATGGCGTATGAACCAATCGTTGGTCACCGGCTACCATGGGACTGCATCTCCTTACGATGCTCCACTGCCTTGTGGGTTAGACCTTTAGGTCAAAGGCTCGGGGAGTGGCCCCCTAAGATAACCACCTGCTTCGGTTTGGGCACCCGGGCAGTATCACAGCCCACACACAAATGATGAACTCTTTATGTCTATGGAAATTACTTTTGTCGCTTTGAAAAACAATCAATTGATTCAAATTATGATCACTACAATTATTGTCATTATTAATATTAATATTATTATTACTACTATTATTGTCATTATTGTTATTATTATCATTATTATTATTATTTTCCACATTATTCACCCTCTTTTATACTTATACAGCTGCTCGTCTTTGGTGGAATTCCGACTGTATCTAAACGTTCTCGAGTCACTGTTCGGTTGAAAATTGTATGTTACCACCGAATACGAGGACTGAAGCAGATTTTCTGAAACCACGTGCACCATTCAAACTGGCTGCCTTCAACGTTCGCACACTAATGCAGATCGGACAACAGACAGGGCTGGCTATGTCTTTAGAAAGTCTTAATATCGGTGTTTGTTGTCTATCCGAGACCCATATTCAAGACTCTGGTGAAGTACTACAAATTCGCTCTCCATCTGTCGCTTCAAAAAGCTTGTTTCACGTGCGTTTATTCGGGGACCCTGTGGCATCTTCGTCTGGTTTTGCTGGCGTTGGTGTCGCACTAAGCGCTAGAGCTGAGGCAGCACTAATCCATTGGATCCCCATTAACAGTCGGTTATGTGCTGTTAGATTAGAGAGTTCCATCAAAGTGAGAAGAAATCGGCGTGAGAAACGATGTCTTTTCGTCATCTTCGTCTATGCCCCAACAGATTGCAGCCCGGATGCAATCAAGGATGAGTTTTACCACCAGTTATCTGTTCTTCTCCAGAAAGTGCGTTCGACAGATATTGTAGTACTAGCCGGAGACTTGAATGCTCAGGTCGGGCGTCTAGGCACAGAAGAGAGTCGTTTAGGTGGCCGATGGGGACTTGTTAGTCGCAGGACAGATAACGGGGACCATCTACTGCAACTGTGCACAGACCACAACCTAATTTTGGCTAGCACTAACTTTCGGCACAGTCATCGCCGATGTGCCACCTGGCGTCCTCCCTCTGCATCTCAAGCCTGGACTCAGATTGATCACATCGCGATCAGCTACCGCTGGCGTGGTTGTGTAAAAGACTGCCGCTCCTTTTGGAGTACCTATCTGGACTCTGACCATGCCTTGGTCTGCACCAATCTTGCCTTACTTTTCAGTGGACAACGAAGTGAACGCCATCAACGGATTGATGTTAGCAAGCTGGTTGCAACTTGTGTTGCTAGTAAGTATCGAACCGAGCTAGCCTCTAGGCTAGCTACCATTCCACCGAAAAGTATAGATGAACATTGGTTGCAATTGCATGACGCCATGAAAATGGTGGGAACAGTCAGTTGTGGGTTTGCGAAACGTCCCGCTTTTAAGCACTGGGTTTCTTCTGGTTCCTTACAACTCATTGATGCCCGTCGGTCTACTCCGGGTAACCGTGAGTTTGACCATAAACGAAGGATTTTACGTAAGGAAATCGGGCAAAGCTTGCGTAAGGACCGAGAAGCCTGGTGGTCGATGCGTGCTAATGAGCTGGAAGCAGCAGCTGCATCTGGTAACTACCGGAAGCTCTTCCAACTCATCCGAGCCACTGGCAGCAAGAAGTCTGGTGTGAGTGAAACAATCTGCGAGGATGATGGGATGCCAATCACTAACATCCATCGACGTCTTGGACGATGGGCAGAATTTTTCGAAGGGCAGTTCAACTGGCCTGCTGCTCCGGCAACATCGGTCAGACTGTCCTGCCCTCCATGGCCGGTGACGACTGATCCACCAAATGAGGAGGAAGTCCGCAAGGAACTCCAACTCTTGAAGCGTTACAAATCACCTGGCCCAGATGACTTACCTCCGGCTCTTTTTAAAGATGGTGGTGACTTTCTGACTAAGGAATTGACGACGTTGTTTACAAAGGTTTGGGAACTAGAGAGTGTACCAACGTCATGGAATGAGTCGATAGTTGTCCCTATCTTTAAAAAGGGTTCACGTCGTTCTTGTAACAACTATCGGGGGATAAGTCTACTTCCGATTGCGTCCAAGCTATTGGCTTCCGTCATACTTCGTAGGTTGTTCAAAACCCGAGAAAGATTGACTCGTGAGGAGCAGGCTGGGTTTCGTTCTGGTCGAGGATGTATTGATCATATCTTCACCCTCCGCCAAATGTTAGAGCACCGTCATACTTATCAAAGGTCAACAATCGTAGTGTTTCTTGACATCAGGGCTGCCTTCGATTCGTTGGATAGGACTGTTCTCTGGGATTGTCTATTGAAGAAGGGTGTGCCTGAGAAGTTTATTAACATCCTAAAAGCCCTGTATAAAAACACCTCAGGCAGAGTGAGGGCATACAACCACTTTTCTCCATTGTTCCATTCGAGCAGTGGGGTTAGGCAGGGTTGCCCAATCTCACCATTCCTCTTCAACTTTGCCATCGATGACATTCTGGAAACAGCTCTGATGAATGTAAGTAATGGTGGTGTGGATCTGTTGCCTGGAGAAAGACTTCTCGACCTTGAGTATGCGGACGATATTGTCTTACTGTGCGATAATGCCCAAGGCATGCAATCCGCACTTAATCAGTTGGCAATCAGTGTCCGTAGGTATGGTA